AGTCGGGTGCTACATGTGTTCTTACACTTATATGACGTTATGTTAGCGATGCCATAGTTGTAAAGTCCTGAGATGATTTACCTGTTTTGTTATGTCGAAGGAAATCATTTGTCAGTTTATTTTGGGCCAGAATTTATTAGTTGGTTGTGCATATGCATATGTGGCTTTCAACTGGACCATTACGTAGTTTCCATATGTGTTTTATGTTTTTTTTATTTGATCAGGTTACTGCAAATCAACTTCATAATTTAGTGTGCGTCTACGGTGCGTCACTTGCCCACATATCGGTTTAGGCTTAGTATCTTGTATTCGAAAACTTTTGCGGTCTGTCGATTTCATATTCATGTATCATTATTTTTGTTCTTATCTGGTGTTCAACCACAACTTTATATATGTATATATATATGCTACTTTTGGCATTGTTAGCCTAGGGAGCTTTAAAATTCAGTATGGAAATCTGAACTATCCATATTCCATTTAGAGTTTATAGGGAATGGACCTATGGCAGTTTTATCAAGAAAACATCTGATGATACTTGCGAATCTTTTCTCCTTAGTGTCATTTTTCTTGAACCATATAAGTTTTCGTAGGAAATGCGTCTCTGAATTCTGTGGCGTTTACTTTCGCCCTTCTTCATTATAAGTCATGTTGCCTGCGTCACAGGACTTTGAACTTGGCGTTAGTGATCGTGGTACGACCTGCTTTTTCATGATGACTATTGATTACACTCTAGCATTAGTTGTCTGAGATTTACATTCCTTTGTTAATCCTTTAAGTAAATTTGTGGACATCATTGAGTACTCCGAATTAAATAGATAATTTTTAACAACAACTTTCGTTTTTTACTAACTCGCTTCTTATTGTATATTCTGGCTACTCATATTTTTCACCTTTTGGCATGGTTTACTGACTGTTGGTTATTGTATCAGATAGTACATTATTAACTGTAAAATACCGAATTCGAGAGCCTTTTGGTCTGTCTACTCTTAATACACTTGCTGCATCACTCTAATTGTGTTTATTCAGTTTAACTTTTTATGTGTAGGTGCTTGCTTGCATTTTGAGTCACACTCTTTCATTAAGTATCCAAAAGTTTTCTGGTTTAAATTAAATCCTTCTGAACAGTAAATTAGCCCACATATGTACCTTGGTGAGCTAATAAGGACTTCTTGGCCATGTCTGCATATGCATCGTACAAGCTCAACCCACAGATTCATTCATTAGATAGCTCAACAAGTTTAGTCATACTCCTGGAAACTGAAGGCGTTCAATATCTTGTTTGTTGTTGTTGTTGTAAATAGTCATTTTGCATTGAGAGTTGTGACAATGTCATCTCTTTTGGAAGGCATTTTAAGACAGACAGCAGTAGAAAATCTCTAAGCGATGGTTCACTAGCTTAGGGTCTCATGCCAGATTCAGGTGGCATAATTCCTAGAACAATTACCTCAGTTTGTCATATTCGAGTAGTTGAAGGTTGACCACTTTCTCCTTTAAATGGGCAGCATCATATACAGCCTGGCCACTGAGTTAAAGTTGCCTGAGCTGAAGGGTCAGTCAGTTTTCTTGGTAAACGTAGGTTCTGCAATTAGTTGTGTCCTCTAAGCTAATTGGTTTAGTTGCGAAGCTTTCATCGTCCTTCTGGACATCTTCAGCTCAAGTTGCAGCTTAAAATGAACTGACTTAAATGCTCCATGAATGATGCAATTGTATCTTCTGGCAACCATCTTCGTGACTGGTAGTCGATTTACATGTGTATTGATCATGTTGTTTTACTCGGATTTTGAACTTTCTCGTCAAGTGAATTAATTTTTTTTAGTTGGTAAATTCGGTCTATATTAATATGCTTGTTAATCACTGATTTGCTTGAGTACCAGGCCTCTAGGAATTCTCTAGCACTTTTGGTGTTCCCCCTGTTTAAAAATTTGACATTATCCCAATCAAATTGGTGTCCATAATTACCTACATGCATTGATATAAATGAATATATATATCATGTCTTTTTACATCTAATTTGTGTTCTTGGATTCTGATTCGAAGGGGACGCCCACTTTGTTGACCGATGTAATGTCTGCTAAAGTTCATACAATTTATTTCGTAAATGGTATTAATTTTATCTTCTGTTTCTGTTGGATCTTTCGGTTTGCACAATATCAAATGAAGTGATTGGACTGGTTGGCTTGTGTGCTATATCTATTTCAAACGGGCTTAATATTCTAGCTGTCATTTCAGAGATATCTTATATATGGCAGGATGAATTTTCTTGTAATCTTTGATGATGGTTTCTTGTTGGCTTTGTGATTCGATTCTAAACATTTTTTGATGCAATTGTGAGGATATCCATTCTTTTTGAAGACGGTTAGTAGGTATCTTTCCTCCATTCTCTTCAACACTAGAGAATTTGAATCAGTTCATTTTATGCTAAAACTTGCACTGCAGATATCGAGAAGGACGACGAAAGCTTCGCAATTAAACCAACCAGCTCAGGGAACACAACTAATTGCAAATCACCCACTCAAGCTACAAATATTCTCTTTTATTTCAAACGTAGATTGTAATTGAGGCAAACTAGTTAGCGGGCTCGCAGAAAGTAACTGGCCTCATTGAACAGAAACAAAAGAGGCAATCTTGTTATTTTATGCACTCGTCTTTTTTTGTGTTTTAGTTGTACTATTATATTGTACCAGTTTTTAATTATTTTGTGTAGGCGAGGAAACACTCTTCGTGACCTGAGACTTAGTTCCTTTTAACTAGCGTTTTTCGCTTTATTCACATTGTCCTTTGTTGTACATGAGTAAACACCTGTTCGTCAGTCAAAGTGAAGTGAAATCCTGCATCCCAACAGACTGATGTAAATCAGTAATTCCGGTTTTATGAGAAAGGAAACAAGACTAAAGTGGATCATCTTTACAGACATAGAAACTAGAATCGTATACAAAGGCTAATTGGGACTCAGCAAGAACACCCTACAAAAAATATGCAAGTTTCAGATTCTAGCAGAAATGCGTTGATCATGTCTCTACCCTTCAGTGTGTCCGGGAAAACAAATGTAGACATCCGATGATGTGTGAAGACAGTGCTTGACTCCTTCAATCAAGAAATAGTTGAGCAATGTCTGAATTTGAAGGGATTGCCTAAAATATGTAGTAATTTGACCGAGGAATTTTATTTTAACATATACCATGTCTAATAGAGTCGTCGTCTAAAGTGACAGCTGTCAGTAGTGTCTACCATGGGTTCCCAGCAGTTTGAAAGACTTGGTTGACTGAGAGCGCTAACGCAATATAAACCTTTTAGGTAAAAAGCAATGGTCCATTGAAGATTTATTATTATTACTCACAATTTGTGAATTTATTGTACTTCCATGGTCATCCTATCGTGAAACCATCGTTGCTAAGTATAAATTACCTTGAGAACGATCTCAGAACACTTGAATAACGTAAAGTGTCAGTGAAAGTCATACTTTCCTTTTGCAACCTTCATGTTTCGAAAATAAACGAGACATTGGTCTGGGTCCTAATTTATGCTTCATTAGTGATATTCTTCAGTGCCACTTTCATAGTAGCGATGTGGTCGGTTCGCATCCACCGTTATTCTACGCAGTCTTTCGTGGTTTCGAAGAAACACGGGGTTGTCAGAATTTTTTTGTAGCGTCTCAAAGTTCCTTAACGTGATGCACTGGTGTCAAACTAACGTAGTAGGAATGATCTTCAGTGTGGAGAGCATTCTTAATATTTTCATAGTTTCCTTTCAATCGCTATATAACCAGCATGGTTAACAATAATACAATAAAGCGTATGAACAATTATTCGGTTGTATAATAAAAGTACAAACTAACAGCCAATCATATTTTAATAGGTCAAGTAGTCAGTCCATGATAGGAAAAGGTTGTGAAGACCATTGTCTTCTGTGAACACATTATTTGGGATGTATGTGATTCATACAAAGTGTTTCGACCACCACCTTTCATAACCTTGAATTGGAGTTATGTGAAGTAAATGAGAAGCAGTCAATAAATATTGATTTTGTGATCAGAGATTAATAAATGCTTTGATTTCTCTATGCGACTTAACAACCATTTAGGAAGATGCTCCTTCAAACGATATTTTAATATTCTATTGGTTGTACCTATATTTGTGTTGCATCAACTTCAGGTGAACTTGTAGAGACGATATGAAGTGGAGTCTAGAGAATTTCTTCCGTTTAATGTGTGGCGGACATGCATTAAAATGTTCGGGATGAATGTAAGGAGAAAGGATGCGGTGTAGAATGTGTACTTGATAGCCGACTGAATCTCTTCAGCTGTCGACTGCGTGATTCGATCAGTCTTAAATGTTAGGTAGCTTAATAAAGGCAGATTTCTTTGTCAGTGAGGCTGTCTTTTTTGACAGGTAATCTATCTTAGTTGCTAAAAAGCTGAATATGTATCTCGTAGCTCATCGATGATTGTATGGCTTGTGCAAATTTTAGGAGTAGGCGAGGAGAACAAGTATTTCATTAGGGAACGTGTGTATTGGATTGGAGTCAAACAGCTAAAATGAAGGTATTGTCCAATAGCTGTCTGCTTTCGAAATATTGATCGCTTAATTGTTCCATCATCCCATTCGGTCACTGAAATATCTAGGAATTCCACTTTGTCATACAACTGTAATTTAGAAGTCACTCGAATATTTCGATGAATATCAATAATAAAAATGTGGTAGTAGTGTCGTGACTTCGGAATTCGAATTAAGTAGCAATTTTCGTATAATTTTTACTAAAGATCTAGAAATTGTTTATCAAGAGAATACAAGTCGTGTACTAATTGCCAAATGCGTTGGATTCAATGAAAATGGTTAATAAATCACACTTAAAATGTACTTAGTGCATCAGCAAACAATTTATATGACACACTGTGTCAGGCATATAGTTTAAGTCGTTTAACTTCACTATTTGTTTTGCAACTTTTATCAGTCATAAGTCTGGTTGTTTAAACAATTGATGGATGTCACGTTCTTTTTTAGAAAAATGTATTCGAATTCCTGTGGATAACTGCACAATGATTATATTTTGTCTCTTGTGTATGTGTGTTTTTGTATCGCTCATGACTGTAACATAAATTAGGCTAATTTAAGATTCAAATAGGAAGCGAAGAGTGTGTCGTCGGTGCGAGGGTGACATTCAGGAGATCGTGTGAGGAAGAGATGAGAGAGTTTGGTCAATCGTGGACCCAGCTGAAGAGAACGACAGAAAACAGAACAAAGTGGAGATGTGTTGTTGAAGCCCTATGTTCCACTCGGAACGCAAGGGAATAATAATAATAATGAAATAATGATATAAAGGTATATTTTACAACTTCACATTCTGATATTATTCGCCCTTTCTTTTTACTTGTTTATGTAATTATCACATGTACAGAAGAAAAAAAGCGTTCTATGCTATCCATTAATTAATTATGTCTTTATTCTATGTTAATTTCTTCTGCCTGCAGAGCTGCCTACGATTCAGTACTGAAACAAGATGTAGCAATAAAAAAATTGGCTCGCCCCTTTCAAAATGTCACACACGCCAAACGTGCCTATCGTGAATTTGTCCTAATGAAACTGGTGAATCATAAAAATGTTAGTGTTATATATCTTAAGTCTTTATTCTTAAATTTACGCCTACTTTTCTTCCTCTTCACTTGTACGTAGGTTTTTAAAGTGTTTCTAGGTGATGTTACCTTAACCAATGAATCCTGGTGAATTGTAACATGATCCGTGCGTGAGTGGTGGTTCAGCGGTAGACTGCTCTTCAACCATACACGTGGTTGGCGCACGCCTTTGATTCCTCTCCCCTCAGACCGGTTGTGAACCCGGTAAAGATAAAAGTTTGGGCGTAAGGCTAGCAACTTCATTATGTATAAAAGAATAACCCCACTGCTACTGGAATTTCAAAGCTAAAAGGCTCCACTTGGAGCGCTAAGGAATACGAAAAAAATAACATTATCCGTGAACTTTTGACAATAAATATGTTATGGTAGCCTAATCTTGTAGACTTTATTGTATATATGAAGATTTTTGTTATAAGCCAATATCAGCTATAGGACTGTTGTAAACAAAGAATCGCTAGATACTAACTTCGTTCTACGTTGAAAATTTTCCCTACGTACCCACAACCATCCGGTTACAAAGTGAACATATTACCACCCAGCCAATTGGTTGGTTGTGCGTCGGTGGCACAACGGTTAGGACGCTCGCCGACCATGCACATGGTTCGGGGTTGGATCCCCGGCCACAGACGCACTCCTTTACCTCGCTAAGCCAGTAATAAAAAAAGCTGGTAAAGAGGGAAGGTTGGGCATGAGGCTAGAAACCCCATCCTGTAAAAATAATTACCACTGCTACAGAAACTTCAAGCCTTTAGCTTGAAGCCCCCTATGTTCCACTGGGAACGTGAAGGAATAAAATATTGGTTGGATGTCGATGGCGTGTGATTTCAAAACTCTGCCTATAAGTGTGATATACTGTCAGAGTAAAAGTGACTAGCTTTGCGATGAAATTCTTGAAGTTTTAGTTGGAAGCGGTAAGCGATGATATCCACTAAGTTTCCGGTATGCGACGATAGTTATTCACAGGTGAAATTGTATGCCACTTAGCACTATATCATTAGTTGATGATTGGATTTAGGAATTATGCGGTTTTAGTCTGATAAAGGCCGCTTTACGATTTTATTTTGTTTGCCTACTTGATTTCAATTTGGAACCATAATCTACCTTCATCATAGCATCAATCAAATATTCACAATGTCGGGAATTCTTTCGGAAAGTGAACCTTACTCTAAGTGAAAATGCAGTGATGTAAAATGAATAAATGCCGAAATTTTAGCACCTGTTTTGCTTTAAATAAATTTCAGTAATTAAAGATAAAAATTTAGAAAAAAATATTATAAATTCACTTTGGGTTCCCTTATCGTCTCATCCATTAGCCAGCCGGCAGCTGCTTAGAGATTGAAAACAGACGACTTTAAAAAACAACTTTAAAAAGAGTTAGTACACTTTGATAAGTTGCAAAATCTTTCAAACTAAAGCAAAAGAGAAATGAATTATATGAAATAGAAAAGATCGGTTAAACTTATTTACTGTCCACGTAGGTATTTTAACGAATTACTATGGACGACTATCAGCCCTCATAAGTGTGAATCATAGTTTCGCACACGCCTAAATCTCTCCTCTCGGTCTCTGAATTAAGTTCAAGATTAGAAGATGATAATGAAATGATGATTTTGAATCTCAGTTGCATAAATTAATTATTCTTAGTATCAATTAGTTTAAGTATTCTTCAAAATGTGTCCGATTTTTTTAGGAAAATGATTTAAAACGAGAAATTTATAGGTTCGAACCCCATTCCATTTATTAAGAGCTGAATGAACAAAAGTAGTATCACTATTCTCCGCACAGTAGGTTTGTGTCTACTGCATTCACATATTTCCTGGGAGATTCGAACTCGTGTCATTGAGTACAGCAATCGGAGGTGTGATCACTGGATTCTTCAAACCTGTGATTGACTTTTTGTAGAGTTGGTGTAGTTTTGTTGACTGGTCACTGGAGAGTAGTAGTGAACGTCAATAAACATGAGAACCATAGCTACCGCCCGTTGCTTTCAACTTCCTAAAATCAATTCAAAATGCCCTGTAATTAATGGTGGGTGGTCACCTATGTTGGTGACAAAGTTGACTGACGAATTCAGTTGGCACTAATGACTACTAGACACATGACATTGGTTAGTCCTCAGTGATCAACCGAAATAACTGGGTAGTTGTCCATTAAATCCTTATTGACTTCAAATAATGTGTGAAGTGTTAGCATTACTTTTAGGTACATAAAATGAACTTTGTTTTCCATAATGAATTGGCTGGAATAGTAGAACAAACTATTTCTTTCCGGCTATTCTATCTTATTAATTATTGTCTTGGGTACCGAGTGGAGCATAGGTCTTCAACAGCGCATTCACACTTTGTACTGTTCTCTGCAGTCCTCTTCAGTTGGCTCCATGGTCGTCCATCCCCTCCCCCACACGATTTCCTCCATATCACCCTCAGATTCACGCCTAACTCGTTTCCCACTCGAACGGCGGCTTGGCGTGCGTTGTTACTCTACGGTCTGCTCAGAGTGTGTCCAATCTATCTTCATTCTCTTTGGAATATTTATTGAGCAAAAGGTTCTTGATTGGTTCGTTCCCAGAGTTTCTTTTTTGGCTAATTCTTTCTGGTGGACCATTTGATCCCTGGTGTAGCTCCAGAGAAGGCAACTGTTGATAAAAGTTTTCAGTAACCTGTTAGAAATGCTTCTCCATGAATCGCCAAGAAGAACTGACTTAACATTAGTGTAGAAAATCTGAGTTTCGTTCGTTATGCTGAGTGCAGAGTGATGAAGGGTCAGCTTTAGTTTTCTGATTCTGGTTTCGACATCCTGATCCGTTCCATCTACCCGTAGTTGAAACGATGGTGCCCATGTAACGACAGAAGGCAAGAGTCAGGCAACAGATCATTTATTGAGGAAATCAACGCATATTTATATATGTTTTCATGTACATTACTATGGATACGTAAACAAACAAACACAGTCTTCCGATTGGTTGATTCTCACGATAAATCTTGGGAACGTAAATATTGACGTAAATTACTGTCTACCAATTTGGCTAGTAGACAGCTCTCACCACACTCAGATAAGTGAAGGAAGCAACCTTATTCAAATTCCCACCTTTGATAGTGATTAGCGCTTCTTGTTGTTGTTCTTGTTGGTTGGTCATCTCCATCATTTGAAGTTCTCTCCTTGCTGCTTCTTCTGCCAGTTTTCTGGTTTTCGCCTGTAGGTCTTGAAGTTGGAATGACATTCGATAGAAATCACCTGCAAAGTTCAGATGTTCTAGAGTATTCTTATAAATCCAAGGTATTCCTGTATTCTCACTCCCACGCACAGTCCTCTCGCATAATCAACTCCACCACATTTAGGATTATCATCGTAACTGATAGATGAAGCAGTTTTGTCTTACTCCTGTCTTCACACTTCAAAGTCTTCGCTGAGGTTTCTGTTGTAGAAAGTAAAATAAAAGAGCATAAAGCAGCTCGAGAATTTACGTTGTCCCTCAGTTTGAGTATTATTATTATTTTGATAATTATTTAATTGTATCTTAGACGCTGTTGTTTATGACTTTGTTTTCTATTTTTTTTTAATTTTCTATTTTCCCTACTGTACAGATCATATCATTACTAAACGCATTTACTCCTCAACAAACACTACAAGATTTCCAAGATGTATATTTAGTTATGGAATTTATGGATGCGAATTTATGCCAGGTAAGCGATTGATTTCACTTGTTCGTATGAATATAACATAAAATAATGGTTTATATGTGAATCTTGGTTGTGCGTCGGCGGCACAGCGGTAGAATGCTCGCCAACCACGCATGTGCTCCGGGGTTCGATCCCCGGCCTTCGCACTCCTTTACCATGCTAAGCCAGTAATAAAAAAAGCCGGTAAAGAGGGAAGGTTGGGCATGAGGCTAGAAACCCCATCCCGTAAAAATAAACACCACTGCTACCGAAACTTCAAGCCCCTAGTTTGAAGGCGCCCTATGTTCCAATGGGAAAGTAAAGAAATAAAAAGAATGCATCTTGATATTTGATGAAGAGGGAGTGTTTTCACTTGAGAAGAAAACTTGAACAGAGTTAGTCCCTTTGACAAATTTAAACAAGCCATTAGGAAGACAAATATCGTGAGATGATAAATCTTCATTTCGTATTTTCTATATAGTCGCTTTACAATCAGCATGGTTCACAATAATACGCATAAAATGTGTGTGAACAATTACTAAATTATATAAAATAAAAGTACATACTAACAGCCAGACATATTTTAGTAGGTCAATTGGTCAGTCCATGGTAGGCAAAAGGTTTTGAAGACCATTGTCTTCTGTGAACACATTATTTGGGATGCATGTGATTCATGCAAAGTGTTTCGACTATCACCTTCCATAACCTTGAATTGGAGTTATGTGAAGTAAATGAGAAGCGGTCAATAAATATTGACTTTGTGACCAGAGATTAACAAATGCTTTGCATTAGATGATGACAGATTTCCATTCAGATTAAGTACAGTTGGGTTTCCTATGCGACTTAATAACTCTAAAGGAAGAGGTTCCTTCTAACGATATTGGAAGATTCCATTGGTTGTACCTCCAAAGCCTCAGGATGGTCGGGGGTGGGTGCCTTGCCCTGCGGGTTGGCCACCCCTTCGCACACCTCTTGAAATGCTCCCATATGACCGGGCGTCTTACATAGCCTCTCCTGAGGAAGTCCTACTCACTGCCTTCACGTGGCGGAGGTGTTTCTCACCAAAGTGAGAGGGCGAAAGCGGATGCCGGGCGCTCTTCACCGGGTTGACTGTCCATTGGATGACAGTCTAGGGGAGATGGCAAAACCCTGATTCCAAACCTCCAACGACTGGCGTATGAAGCTCACCGGAGCTCACCGGCAGACGTATGGACAAAGGGCTTGTTGGATGTCCTGGATGTCTGGCCCCATTCAAAAAGGCGTATGAACCGAACTCCGGTCACCGGCTGCCAATGGATAGTGGACTCCGTACTCCACTCCTACTGCCTTGTAGGTGACACTTGGTTGTGTAAAGGCTAGAGCTGCACTCTCAAACAAAAGGCCGAGTGATTCTGGGGACATCACTCGTACCAAATTCCCATGAAACTTCATGGACTCTCAGTACAGTCAAGGCTGATATGGAGTGCCTGGGGCTACAAACCGTCTACGGAATCCGTCTGTGGAACAAGAATTGGATAACCCTGTCGCAAAACCTTACATCAGATCGCCGCGTCTGGGCAGCGATGATTCGAGATGTTCATGAAGCCGGCTCATCCTCCCGTAGGAGATAGCCGTAGTAAAGTAAAGTAGTACCTATATTTGTGTTGCCTCATCTGCAGGTGAGCTTCTACAGTCGGTGTGTAGTATAGCCCAGAGAATTTCGTCCGTTTAATGGGGGCCGGACATGAATTAAGAATGTTCGGCATAGGTGTGTAATGAAAACGGATACGGCGTTGAGTTGATCTTTCAACATTCATTGATACATCTCATCACAATTTGTGATTTGTAATCATCTTATTCTGATAATATGGAATTGGAACATTAATCATGTTACAAGGTCGATCTGGTTGCGCTAAAATCATAAATTGATAGAAGTTAGAATTCATGAGCCGTTGAATCGCGTCCCAGTGGCTGGAATGATCTGTGATCTTGCCTTGTAACTGAATGGTTCCGGGTTTGAACCGCAGATAGTGAGTCCTAAACTAGGTCGAAACAACTGTCTAGCTCCCCCTGGTTATCAGTGGTTCTCTAACTGATATCAATCCGTGTAGAGACGTGAAGCACTTCGACTTTGACTACTCTATAGAGTATCATTAGTCCTAAGACGATAGATGTTTGCTGCCTCTTCTTATTTTATTTCAAAATGATAAATAATTATTGATTACTTATGTTCCGTGCACTGTATTTAAGCTGAATAGTATTAGTAAACATCATGCGTAGTTATTGTATTGTAAATACCGTGATAACTCTGTGTGGGTTGAAAGGGGTTAATCTATTTCATTTCTCTGCAGTAGTATCTTCGGAAATGGTTGCTTCAATATTGAAGTGCCTTAAAAACAAATATGCTGCAATTAACTTAGGTAGTGTCCTCTGTAATTCTGTGAATTAAAAAATGACGAAATATATTGGTATTTTATGAAACTATAAATAGAAGTATGCATTTGTTGCTCTGTGATAGAATGCTCGCTGACCACGAACAGCACGGTCCCGGTTTGATTCCCCACCGATGCTCTCCTAAACCTCGCTTAGTTAACTAACTGATGGTAAGTTCGGAAAAAAGGAAGGTTGGGCCTGAAGTTAATAACACCACCGCTATTGAAACTTCATAAACTGGAAGCCCCAATGATCCGCCGCTTGGAACGTGAAGGGAAAAAACTGAAGCATTAATATTAGCTCTATATCTCCATTTATGTAAACATGGCAATACAAAACATGTTTAAAGGGGACACTATATACACTGCTTTATCTAGGTAACACTTGGTCACTGTTTTAGTTTGTGGGTAGAATGGCTGTCAAACGAAAGCTTGGAATCTGTTCATGAGACCTTTGACAGTTAGTTTGAACCATTTGGGGACGGGTGTATACTACGTAGTTGGGGTCATCGGGATTCTAAGAACTAATGGCTGGAGACTGTTGGTGATATGGCTCGAAGTCGTTCTCAGTAGCGAAGATGCATTCATTCTTTGTGATCTCCCATATCCAATGAAATCCTATTGTTTTTCCATGTTAGTATTCTTCCTTTCTCCCTCACATTTCTCCTTATTATTATTGTTTTGTATCTCTTTATTTCTTTCCTTTGTCTTTATTTTTGTGGTACATGGGGTATAACAACTCTAATTGTTGTACTTCTGTGCAGAGTTCTATATTGAAACTAGTCAGTTAGTCGGTCAATTGTGAACGTGGTGGGGTTGCTAACCTCACACCCAACATTCTCTCTTCACCTCACCTGGTCTACTACCGGCTAAGCAAGGTCTGGGAGCAAGTCGCCTGGGAATCGAACCCTTGACCACCTGCGTTGTTGGCAGGTATTCTACCACTGAACCATCGACTCCGCCGTCTATAGAATACTAATATAAGTTAGTGAAAATTGAAAACTGGCAACCAAACAAAAATATTTTACTTGTGCGTCGGTGGCACAGTGGTTAGGACTCTCGCCGACCATGCACATGGTCCGAGGTTCCATCCCCTGCTGACGCACACTCGATATCTATGGTCGGCCTGCAAAATTTGGGCTACCGATATCCATGCTGAAAATTCCATACTTGTACTGAAAATACGGTGTGGCATAAAGCTGTAATCAAAAAAATAAATAAATATCGTGATATATACAATTATTCCATTTTTAGGGTGAAGTCTTAGTGTAAAATATGATCTGGAAAGTGGTTAAACTCTGATCACACTTAGAGTGTGTGTTCTTTGGTGATGCTGTCTACTTTCACAGAACACACACTGTTGGAAAGTTCAGGCCTTATCTGAATAAATCACGCTTCTCTTAGCTGTTTTGATCAAAATATTAATAATTACTCTGTGATATTTGTTCATAGTCGCTTCATTTTCTCCATTTTGGTACTAACATCCTTTACGCTTTACTAATTGATTAACGTACCCGGTGCGTTGGTGGTTCAGTTGCAGAACGCTCGCCAATAACCACGCACGTGGTTCGGCGGTTGATCTTTGGCCGATGCACTCCTAAACCTCGCTAGGCCTTGTGATGAGGAAAGGTTGGGTGAGAGGCTAGCAGTCCCCCAGCCCGAAACCTCAATGCTCAAGCCTAGAGCCTTATGTTGCACTCGGAAAGTAAAGCAATAAGATTTTAAGAAATAAATGAATTAACGTACCCACTTATTTGTATATATATGTACATATTTTCTAACGTGAATTTATAATCTATCAGTATGCAGTATATCTCTCTTAATTACGCATAACTCGCAGATTCCCACTCGGGTCCCACTTGAGCGGTGACCTGATGTGCGATATCACCCAGCGGGCTCCTCAGCGCGAGTCCAATCCATCTTCACTTTCTTCGGAATATTTGTTAAGCAATAGGTTCTCCTAATACATGTGTTAAACTTGGGCATTGTGATGGTAGGATGTAATTCCATACAGTGAAACAGTATGATTTACTGAATGATGTTTCGAACACAAATTTATTGGTTACAGGAGTGATCGCGAGCTGAAAACGGTTAGAGAACCATTGGAAAACCTAGGAGTACTGGTCAGCTGTTTCGTCCCAGTTCGGGGCTCTTCGTCAGTACGCACCCACCGATAGGGTTCGGACCCAGGACCTTCCGGTTACGAGGCAAGATCGGAAACTGCTAAGCCATGGAGACCCGACCCAATGGTCCGTAAATTCCAACTTCTCACAATTTGTGATTCATATTTAGTGCAACCGCCAGCCAATGTCACGGGACAAGAACTGTCCTCTTGTCTGACTTGGTAGACCCCACTGGTTACGAATTCTCACTAGATAACCCCTGGTAACTTCCTGCATAGTGCATCAGGTTTGCTAGTTGATGTCAATCCTGTAACCAATCAAATCCGTGCAAACCAGCACTTGACAATTGTACTGTTCATAATCAATATCGATTGCAACTACACAATACTTGATCTTTTTTATAGTTCTCATCCTTCTTTCCTATTTGTTGTAGTGGTGTCAGAATTTTCCAATGTTGGGTTTCATATTCCTATTGCACTTGTTCTCCTCTAATTTCTCTGTATACTGTTTCTTTCTACCCCCCACCCCCCTACATTTTAGGTGATTAATCTAGATCTAGATCATGAACGAACTTCCTATCTATTGTATCAAGTCCTTTGCGGTGTAAAACATTTACACGCAGCTGGTATCATTCATCGAGATTTAAAACCCAGCAATATTGTCGTGAAGCATGACTGCAGTTTGAAAATTCTGGACTTTGGATTAGCTCGTACAGCTGGAGACAGTTTTTTAATGACTCCATATGTGGTGACTCGGTAGGATGATTTGTGCTCTTTTTTATTTTTTTTCATAATTTTTTCACATTTAAGTTGTGTGTTTCTCCATTCCATGCTATTTTACGACTTACTGTGTATAACTGCAAGTCATCTGTACAGACAATGAATTAGTTCCTCAAGTACAGCGAAACAGCGGAAAACTCAGCGAGTCGTTCAAAGTGAATACAGGAGTAAGACAAGGCTACCTGTCTATTATCACCCACGATGATATTCTTAATTGTAGTGGACTGGATTATGCAGAAGACAGTGCACAGGGAGTGAGAAGAAAGGAATACGCTGGACGACCAATAAGAAGACTCTAGAAGATCTGGATTTCGCGTGTGGATGATATATGGCTAATGTCACACAAACTCGAAGACTTAGAGGCAGGCGAAAACCAACAAACTGGCTGAAGAGGCTGGCAGCGAAGATAGGACTCCAAGTGAAGGTAACCAACCAACAGCAGCAGCAACAACAACAACCAGTACCAATCACCATCAACGGGAGAGATTTAACAGAGGTTACCTCCTTCACTTATATAGGAAGCATCGTTTCAACTACAGGTGGAACGGATGAAGATGTCAAAGTGAGAATCGTAAAGGCAAGATATGCCTTCATCAAACTGAAACAAGTTCGGAAATCTTCTGTACTCAGCATAGGGAACAAGATCCGGATTTTCAACACCAATGTGAAGTCGGTCCTTCTATACTGGTCAGAAACTTGGTGTGTCACGAAAAAGATTTCCAACAGATTGCAGACCTTTATCAATAGATAACTTCGCTAGCCCCATACTGAAGATCAAATGGCCGGCCAGAAAGAATTAGTAACAGGAAACTCTGGCTGGGAAAAAACCAACCAAGAGTCGATTGCTCAATGAATATGTAAAAAAATGGAGATGGATTGGGCATACGTTGAGAAGGTCGTCGAATAACATTGCGTTCAATGCAGGCCATCGCTAGAGTGGAATCCAAACGGGAAGCAACGAGTAGGTCGTCCTAGGGTGACATGGAGGAGGTTGTGCGAGTTGAAGGAGATGAGAGATTATGGTCAATTGTGGGCCCAGCTGAAGAGGATAGCAGTAAATAGAAGAAAGTGGAGATGTGTTGTTGAAGCTTTATGTTCCACTTGGAACCCAAGGGAATAATAATAGTAATAACAAGTGAAACATAGGGCTTCAACAGCACATCTCCATCTTTTCTCTGAAGTCTTTCTTAGCCGGCTGCACATGATAGCCCTTCAGCTTTCATTTACTCGATGCCACCCTCGAACACCAGCCCAACTCGTCGTTTCCTGTTCGGATTCCAGTTGAACGCCTTGTGTGTGTGTGTGTTATGTCACGCCTCCATCTCCATTTCCTTCGACGTATTTGTTAGACAATAGGTTCTTGGTCGGTTTGTTGCGAGTTCTTTGTTGCTAAAGCAGCACAATCCCACCCTCGGCTGCACCTGGTCGTTTATGGCGGTTATTCGAAGCTTAGAATAACCGATTCGAGTGATGCTGGTGTTTACTGTTTCCTCGTCTCTTGACTTTGCATTCTAGCATAGCCTTACTCTTCCTATCTGGTTCCATTTACCTTTATATATATATATATATATATATATATATATAATACATCCAATGCAACTGACTCCACAAAAGCTGCCAAACTGATGGATACACAAAGGTGACGAAAAATTAGATAGTCTTGTCCTTAACTCCTGAACGTAAAATTGGAGTGGTTGTGAAGAGACAGAGTACTTCTGCGGCACCGAATGTTCCTTTTTACTTCATTTTTAGACGTTAAGTTATTATCCCACTGATGTTATCATCACCATGGAACTACATTTTTAAGGACAAGATCTTCTTCGGAGCCGTTGATGATGCATTAGTTTTCATTGGCTTTCAATTCATATTCCACATTCAATAAACTTCTCTGGATAACTATTTTCACTCAGTAATTGTCTAATAATCTCGATTTCTTCGTTAAGATAGTCGTTAGGCTAGATTGCTCTAGCTGTCTGTGGACCAAACACTTTATGAAATTACGTTTATATTTTAGAGATTCGAAGCCGAAAAATAAGGGGATTACTGACACCAGTCCATGTGGGTTATCTGCATATACTCATTCTCATTGTACTCTCCTCTTTCGTAGTCAGTCATAAGGATGTCCGGGGAACGAAATTTCTCCATGGTAAAATTTATTTCAAGATAGACATCTTTAAATTTGTCAAAGATGTCCTTTGCTTCATTCTCTCTATTCTTCATAATTATTAGAAAGGCATCATCCATGTAACGACAATCAAATTCTAGTTCAATAATTACACCTTTCATCAAGAGTCTATTCTGTAATTTAGCAAGGGGGAAATTGTCAGCTAGCATATTAGTCTTAGTGATGACCCCATAGACACACACCAATTTGTCTGTAGAATATTGTTAATAACAATTATTCATTATCGACAGGATTACGCTTCATTACATTTCAAAAGCATCAGTAAGAGAGAGGGAGAGATAATATGCATTATCATAACACTAAACTGATTGAATATCAGATAAATTTAAGGGAATCAACACACAGAATGTATGAATTTATAGATTTGAATGGCAGACCGAGGCGCCAATAGTGGCTGACTGGACCTGTTTCTTCTGCATGCACAGCTCCGGGGGATTTAAGCGAATTGCAATGGTCCAAAGCCTCAGGATGGTCGGGGGTGGGTGCCTTGCGCTGCGGGTTGGCCACCCCTCCGCACACCTTGAAATGCTCCCATATGACCGGGCGTCTTACATAGCCTCTCCTGAGGAAGTCCTACTCACTGCCTTCACGTGGCGGAGGTGTTTTTCACCAAAGTGAGAGGGCGAAAGCGGATGCCCGGCGCTCTTCACCGGGTTGACTGTCCATTGGATGACAGTCTAGGGGAGATGGCTAAACCCTGATTCCAAACCTCCAACGACTGGCGTATGAAGCTCACTGGAGCTCACCGGCAGACGTATGGACAAAGGGCTTGTTGGATGTCCTGGATGTCTGGCCCCATTCAAAAAGGCGTATGAACCGAACTCGGGTCACCGGCTGCCAATGGATAGTGGACTCCGTACTCCACTCCTACTGCCTTGTAGGTGACACTTGGTTGTGTAAAGGCTAGAGCTGCACTCTCAAACAAAAGGCCGAGTGATTCTGGGGAAATCACTCGTACCAAATTCCCATGAAACTTCATGAACTCTCTTACAAACGACTCTCAGTCAAGGCTGATATGGAGTGCCTGGCGCTACAAACCGTCTACGGACTCCGTCTGTGGAACAAGAATTGGATAACCCTGTCGCAAAACCTTGCATCAGATCGCCGCGCCTGGGCAGCGATGATTCGAGATGTTCATGAAGCCGGCTCATCCTCCCGTAGGAGACAGCCGAAGTAAAGAAAAAGAAAGAAATGGTTCATGAATAATCCCCATCCAGGTATTAATGGAAACAAAACATGTAGTTCAGTGAAGAGTTTCTTTACGGTGACGAATTCATTTTCTTAGCTGTACAATCGCAAATATATTTGTATATGAGTTATTCTGTATGCGTGTGTACATGAAGTTTGTCAAACATAAATACAATTGGTTATGGTTATTTTATCTAGACAGGTGAAAATTAGTAAGTTTTGGGTAGAGTTACGTAATACAAACTGGTCAAGAAAATTGGCTGTTAGTGAAATTAGGGTAGTAACAAAGGTGATGAGTTGTCACAAACAGTTTTTGAAAAAGAGTTGCGTAATGACATGAATAGTTTGATGATTGAGTTGTACTCAGAATACACATAGGAACAAAGTAGAGAATACGAAATAACGTAAGAGTTCTAAATGAATTCAAGAATTATAAGCAATTAAAGAAACAGTCAAACAAACAAAATTGAGTCATCAAAAATCAACAAAAATGTTACCATGACAGTAGAAGTGGTTGGGTAATTCTCTTTTGTATGCACAACTCCGGGTTTTCTATGTGAATGGCCAGAGCTTCAGGGATGCAAAGAAGACGAAACCGTATTGCCTTTGGTAGGTTATTCTTGACTCTGTAGATTACTTTGAAGCAGGAGGCGTTTGTTGAGATGGAATGATCAGTGTTAACCAGGTGTTCAATTATCGCACTCTTTATTGCACCACTATTGCCTTTTCGCAACCATGCTGGATTTTTGATGACTTAATTTTGTTTGTTTGCCTGTTTCTTTAATTGCTTATAACTCTTGTATCCATTTAGAACTCTTACGTCATTTTCTATTCTCTACCTTGTTCCTATGTGCATCCTGAGTACAACTCAATCATCAAACTATTCATACCATTACGTAACTCCTTTTTAACAACTATTTGTGACAACCCATCACTTTTGTTACTACAGTAGTTTCATTAACACCCAATTTTCTTGACCGATTTCGTATTACGGAACTCTACCCAAAACTTACTAATTTTCACCTGTCTAGTTAAAATAACCATAACCAATTGTATTTTTGTTAGACAAACTTCATGTACACACGCATACAAAATAACTCATACATAAATATATTTGCGACTTTACAGCTAAGAGAATGAATTCGTTGCCGAAAAGAGACTCTTCGCTGAACTACATGTTTTGTTTTCACTAATTGCAGTGGTCTCTGCAATCTGGATTGTTAGATATCTAAAGGCATGATAGAGAAAGACTCTTCAAAGCCAGCTGGCTTTCTGACCTGTTTGGAAGAGGTTATGTAATAATAGAACTGCTGGTGGTTTTAACAACACTTTTATTTAACCACACTGTCAGGTGTTCCTAATAACGAAAAATCAGGCACCTTATAGTTAGTTAGCGGCCAATATAACTGGCTCCACAGGAACAGTTGAATTGATTAAAGATATAATTAGAGGTGGCTAGCCTAGGCACTTCATATTTTAGTTTAGGAATCACAACTGGTTGTGTGGATAACGCAGGGTGCAGCTTACCGGCATTAAACATTCTTTGAGTCGATTTTCTCAACTTGTTTGTTATTACTGCTCTAGGTAGATCACCTCTGAATTGAAGTCATGTATACATGGAGGCATCTTCTCAACAGATACAGAGGAATTATCTTCTGCTTTCTTGACCGTGTGTTTAGTGATAACCTTTTCAGGGGAGTTTTTTTCAATTAACCTGTCGTATACAACCTTAAGTTCGTCTTCAATCGCATCTTCTGAACAAATAGAGGGTCTTCACCTAATTTCTTTTATAACGAAGTGGAGAAAAGCTGTGAAAATGTGTGTACATTGACCAGTCTAAGTACTTTTCCTACGTAAATTCCTCATTATACTGCCGTCTGGTCTACTTGTCGGTTGCACGTCTGAAAAGGCAATCCTACTTTGGGGTTCTTCTTCACACGTGAATGTGTACTTCATTGCATTGAGATGTTATTACTTTCTTGCCCAAATCATTTTCACAAAGAATGAAGATGTCACCCAAATAAATATACCAGCAATAAAATCAGAATTTTCACTTAAAGTGTTTTAAAGGACCATTTTCTAGTTTACTCAGAAAGAATTCTGTTAACACGTGATAACCAATAGAGAGTCCATTGCAACTCTTGTTCATCGGATTGTGAGGGTGATTGTTAATTCCCGGCTGCCCACACCGTGGAAGTTGGTTGCGCGACCACAGAGCCCAGGGGACAACTGCTCGAGGCCGGTCACACGCGGCCTGTTTTTGTTTGTTCTTTTTTATTTGGTGTGTCTCAGTAGCGTATTTATCACTTCTGCCCTGTGACACGGCGGCAGGAGGCGCGGTTGTTGTTAATCCAGGCCCCGACCGATCCGGCATGATATTTTGTGATTTTGTTTGAGTCATAGCATTGGATTGGGTAACTGATTTTTGTCTAACCTCTATCCAAACAACCCTTCTGGCATGGTAGGACCTCAAGCGCCATAAGTCTCAGCCAGTATAGCTTGTTGGGTCGTTGCGGTGTTCAAGCCCGACCACCACGTCAAGGTAGCAGCTTTCGGTCGGGACCTGTTCATATGTCACCACCAAATTAAAAAGTTCACATTCATGGTTCAATTTAGTAACAATTCCTTAGGGCTTTCTCCTGGGATCCCAATATTTGTTGACTTTTTATTTATTTATTCGCAGATGTAATTAACGGTTTCAGCTAGAGAGGTAGGTTTGTAAATAGAGAGATGTTTCTTAATTGTTTCCGCTTGGCGCAGTTTTATCACTCTTGCGTTTTGTTCAAGTTTTTCGTTACTGCTGTTTTCGTTGTTACTTTCTGTTTTGTTGACTGTGTTTTCTCTGTCACAGTTTCACCTTCCCTCTTTGAAAATTACTCAGACTATATTATCTTTTGTATAATTTTTTTTTCAAATATTCAATAGTTATTATCGAGCACCAGAAGTTATATTGGGCATGGGTTATTCAGAGAATGTAGACATCTGGTCAGTTGGTTGTATATTTGCAGAAATGGTCCTGGAACGCATTCTTTTTCCCGGTTATGATCATATTGATCAATGGACAAAAATAACAGAAGAACTTGGTACACCAGGACCAGAATTTATGAGTCGTCTAGAATATGCTGTACGTAATTATGTTATGTCAAGGCCAAGAAATGAACCTCGACCATTCACTGAACTCTTTCCAGATGATCGTTTCCCTCCGTCGAGCACTGTAAGTTCAATTTGGGTGGTTTCTTTGGTGTTTATTCAGGCAAACGTATCGTTATGAGGTCATGAAGTATTTTTTCCAAGTTGTGTACTGTAAAGATTTCTTCGATGTTATGAAGCAGTGCCTATTATGATTCGCTTTAGGCTTCAGCGGGGAGCACACCTACCTCCATTTCACTCGATTTTTTCCACACTATTCTTTAACCGAATCTGCCAATGCCCATGGAGCCAGCAAAAGAACACCTTGAGCAGCAATCTTCGAATGTTTGGCATACGATTCGCGACCTCTCGTCAAATGTAAGATGATTCTACAGGATTGAACAACATCAAGTAGCTTGAAGATAGGGAGTGAAGTGGTGGAGTGTGTTGACCACTTCACTTATTTGGGGAGTTGAATCAGCCCCAAAGGGTGGTTGATCGCTGATTAAATCTCAGCACGGATATGCCAGTTTACGCCATCTCTGGCTTAGTAGACATGATATCCGACTGGCTATCGACCACAGGGCGTGTGTACTGTTCAGCAGTTCGCTCCGTTTACCTTTATGGCTGTTAGCGAAACATGACCATTAGCAGTGGAAGATATAGAAAGGCTAGATGTCTGTGGTCATAGGTGTCTGCTTCCTGTCTTCCATGTTGGGTGGTGTAATAGGGTTAGTAATATTGAGGTCAGGCATCGGTCGAGTGAGTGCTAAGTAAGCAGTGGAAACCAATCGACGAGGTTGTGAAGCTGCATCGACTGAAATGGTTAGGACATGTGTTACACATGCCTGCCTAGCTATCACTTTCCTCGAAGACAGTCAATGTTAGCTGAAATAGGATGGATCAGGTTGGAAAAGAGTTAGCTAGTGGTGGTCAAACCAAAACATGGCTTCATCAGTCAATGAAATTCACGACAGTTAGTTTAAGCCAGCCAGTCATGTAGGGAGGTGTAGACTTCCTAACTGGTTGGGGTACTCGAGATGGTAAAAACTAATGACGGCTGGAGACAATTGGTGATGTGGTTGGCTCAAAATCATTCTCAATGGTTGGTGGAGATACATTCACTCTTTGTGATTCATCATATCCAATAAAATTCTATTTTTCTTCCATATTACTATTCTTTTTCCCTCACTCACACCTCTGTTTATTATATCTCTCTGTTTTGAATCTCTCTCCACTCTCTTCTCTTGCTACATGGAGGGAGAGTAGCAACTCGAACTGGTGCACATCTGTGCAAAGTTCTATGTTGAAACCGATCAGTCAGTCAGTCATTCAATCCTATAAGTTTTCATTTCCTTCTCAGATGACCGCCTCCATGTCACTCTGTACACTAGTTCGTTGGCAGAGTGACACACAAGCTCATTAACTCCCTACTGTCTTATCGTTTCTTTATTTGACGATGTTTCTAGTTTAATTCTAACGACACCTAAGATGCCACTGTTTCTGTTTTGCACAAAACTTAGCTCAAGTTGAAATATATACAAATCACGTCATTATTTTATTGTGTGTGTGGTTCTAAGTTATATGGCATAGTGCAAACTATATGTAACTGGGTTTAGTTTATATATATATATATATATATTTTCGGGGATAGTGTAAACATTGTCTGTCTGTCTGTTTTCGACATAGAACTTTGCACCGATGTGCAGCAGTTCAAACCGCCACACTCCCTCCTTGTAGCACACAAAGCAAGAGAAGAAAGTAGGGGAAATGCATAATGGAGACAGTAAACAGAGGTGTGAGACAAAGGAATAGTAATAACGAAGAACAATATAGTTTCATTGGAAATTATAAGTTACAAGGAGTGGATGCATCTGCGTTAGCCATTGAGAACGATTTTGAGCCATGTCACCAATTGTTTACAGCCACTGGTTTTTACCGTCCCGAGGACCCCAACCAGGAAGTCTACACCTTCCTGGCTTAAACTAACTGTTGTAGATTTCATTGACTGGTGACATGTTTTTGTTTGACCGCCGCTAGCTGTTTTCCAGCCTGGCCCTATATCAGCTAACATTGCCCGTCGAGGAAGGCATATGTAACACATGTCCTAACCATCTCAGTCGATGTAATTTCACAGTTTCGTCGACTGATTTCCCCGCCTTACGTAGCACTCGACGCCTAACCTCAATATTGCTCACCTTATTATTCCACTTCACACGGGAGGTAGGACGCAGGTACCAATGATCAAAGACAGCTAGCCAGTCTTTTCATGTCTTCCACCTTCAATGGCCAGGTCTCACAGCCATAAAGGTAGACGGAGCGGACTGAGGAGCAGTACACCCGCCCTTCGGCCGATAGGCGGATATCACGTCTACGCCAGAGACGGCGTAAACTGGCATATGCGAACCTAGCCCTCTGTATTCGTGCTGAGATTTCGTCGGAGATCAACCTGTTGGATCTGATGGTACTTCCCAAATAAGTGAAGTGGCCAACGTGCTCCACCACTTCACTCCCTATTTCTAAACTAGGAGTCAGTGTAGTGTAAACGCACTATTTTCAGACTAACTATCACAAGTGTAGTTATCCTTATAGCTCAGTGAAAAAAACAACTTCAACAGATCTTTTCTATTCTGTATTATTCGTCTCCTATAGAACCATTTCCCTAGATTACTTCGAACACCTGATTGACTGGTTTCCACATAGAGTTTTGCACAGAAGTGCACCATTTCAAGTTGTCAGTCTCCATTTATCACACAAAGACAGAAAAAAAGAGAAAAGAAAGCTATTTAAATGAACAGTTAATAGGCAGAAATGTCAGGGAGGAGGAATAGTAACATGGAAGACCTATACGGTTTAGTAGGTGTGGGAGATCACAAAGGGTGATGAATGCATCTGCGCCAGCCATGGAGAACGATTTTAAACTATTTCATCAGTTGTTTCCATCCATTGGTTCTTAGTCTCAGCCATAAAGCAGCAGGACAGAGAGAAACAGTGTGCAGTACATACCTCCGATCGATAACTCAATATCACGTCTACGCCAGAGATGGTGTAAGTCGGTAAATGACATACGATATAAGAATGTCTGTCTGGGTTCAACATATAACTTGGCATTGAAGTGCAGCAGTTCGAGTTGCCACGTTCCAAATACCACACAAAGGTAGACAAGAAGATGAGTGAAGAGAATCAATAGAGTTTTGACAAGTATAATAGTGAAACAGAGTGAGTAATGGTAGAAAGGAATATGAAAGATTACAGAGACTGAATACATCTGCGTAAGCCATTGACAACGATTTTGGGCCATGTCACCTAGTGTCTCCAGCCATTGATTCTTAGAGTCCCGAGGGCGGGCCCCAACCCGGAAGTCTGCATCTGCCTACCTGACTGAGTTTAACTGTCAAGGATTTCATGGATTGATGAGGCCATGTTTTGTTTGTCCACCACTTACTCTTTTCCAACCTGCACCTATATCAGCTAGTAATGCCCGTTGGGTTAGGGATATAATAATAAGATATAAGAATAGAACTTGTGCATTGTGGTAGAGTATAATTCCATTGTGGATAAAATTTATTTCGATGATGTCTCACAGTGTTATACAGTAATATTTACTGAATACTACGTTTCGAGCACAATTTATTTCCACTCATAATCATATCAAGTTACTCACACAACTTTCTAACGTCGTTTATTTAATTCCATTATTTGATTGGTAGTAGTATTTTTCATATTTCCGGTATGAGTGATGAGTCATTCTTATTGCACGTAGTTGGTGTAAATTGCTATGAACAAAGAAGATTCGGTAATCACGCTCTCTCTCTCCACCTACCTATATTTTAGAATTTCAACCCTCCCCACCCACCCTATTGTGTGGTTGTGTGTTAATGCATGCAGTGCAATTACTGAGTATTTTTCTAAATTACTTGTCTTCGTGGGGTCAGTCGTTCTAACCTTAGCTAAATTCTTGTGTTCTGACAATCTGACCTATGTAGTTGACCTAACTCGCAGTCATTGCAAGGTATATTTTGTAAATTATATGATTTTGTCTAATTGAGTCAACTAGGTCCTTTAACCTACAGAGCTTGTTCTACCTTTGTGAGTCTGTAGCTTTAAATGTCACCCTAATTCCTGCTTTATCAAGAATCCTACGTAGGCTTTCAGATGGCTTATAATCTTTCTTCTCTATGCTATCATTATTAGTTTCACCACTAATTTTATTTTGCTTTTGACCTCTTTCATCTTCCTGATGAATTTTACAGGATATTTATTTAACACCAACGCCTCTTCTATCTGTTTCTTTTCATCGTTGAGGTATTTTGTTATACTGCTTAGTGCTACTGCTCGGTTTGTTAAACACTTAACTAAGCCAGCCTTCACAAACAACGAATGAGATGAATTAAAATCTAAATATCTATAAGAATGCGTTGGCTTTTTTTATAAACACTAGCGTGCAGTTTACATTCTTCTATTCATTTTACTTTACAATCTAACATAGCTAATTCTCCTTGCTCATTTTCGGCTTCAAATGTGAATTTTATTCCCTCCACTAGTGAGTTTATGTGTGTCAAGAAGCTAGAGATATGTTCTGTTTTTAACCCTGCGAATGTGTCATCCACATATCTCTACCATATTTTTGGAGTAGGATTAAACGTATTAAGATCAATATTTTCCCAGTAAATTGCTGCTCAAGATATTCAGATGACTCTGCATTTTGTCAGCGTCTTCACCTAGGATGATTATACCATCCGCGTATTCAAAGCCAACAAGACTATCCCCTGGTAACAAGTCCATCCCTAAATCACTTAAGTCGATTGCGGTCAATTCCGTTAGTACATCTATGATGATGAGGACAGTGGGCATCCCTGACAGACACCACTGGTTGTCATTACTTGAGATGACAACTCTCCGTAGGCACTTACCTGGCTGCATGATTAGTGTGATGTACTTTCTCGGCACTCCCTTCACATCCAGACACTGCCATTGTACCTCTCGGTCGATGGAGTCGAATTCCGCCTTCAAATCAATTAATATGCCAATTGTTGGACACCCGAAAAATATGCCTATGTTCCGAAATCTATCGAGGGATGAATA